TGTAATCCTAGCTACTCAGGAGGCTGAGATCTGAGGATCGCGGTTCAAAGCCAGCCCGGGCAGGAGAGACCGTGAGACTCCTATCTCCAATAAAACCACCAGAAAACTGGAAGTGGCGCTGTAGCTCAAGTGGTAGGGCGCTTGCCTTGAGCTGAAGAGCTGAAGGACAGCGCCCAGGCCCAGAGTTCACGGCCGACCAAAAAAAAAAAAAAAATGAGCTAGCTACTGGTATATGTTACTACATATATTATTTAATTTTTTATTTTCTTTCAATATTGAAGACTGAAGCTATGAATATTCAGCCTCCATCCTCAAAATTAAGTAAATTTTTGCAAAAATTAAATTACTAACAGGAAAGGTAAAGTATATTTTTAGTATCATTGGTACTATAAATAAATGATTAAATAATAAATAAGTAAATAATTAATTAGGTGAAATCAGTTTCCTGGTCACTCATCTGAAAGTATATTTTGACAAGACTGAGTTGAGCCAGCAGGAAATTGTTTGGTAGAAATTGAATTCTCTGTAAAGTGTTACAAATTTTACGTACAAAAAGAGATTACTGTAGGGCGCTGGTGGCTCACGCCTGTAATCCTAGCTACTCAGGAGGCTGAGATGTGAGGATCGCAGTTCAAAACCAGCCTGGGCACGAAAATCCGTGAGACTCTTATCTCTAATAAGCCACCAGAAAACCGGAAATGGTGCTTTGGCTCAAGTGGTAGAGTGGTTGCCTTAAGCGGAAGATAATGCCTAGGCCCAGAGTTCAAGCCCCACGACTAACCAAAAAGAGAGAGAGAGAGAGATTACTGCCTCCTAACTCCTCTAACTTTATTGCATATGGATTTACTTTACAAAGTTAAAAACTTAAGACTTACAGAAAGGTATGGGTAATACATAGTCACATACATAAAAAGAGGCTACGATAGTTATTTAGAGGACTCAGATTTTTAAAATAAATTCTAAGTGGTATGACAAGCCACATTTCAATGTTATTCAAAGGTACTTATTCAAAGGAGAAAAAAAACTAAATGTTTCCTTTAAAAAAATGTCAGAATTCTTGTTCACTAGTGAAAAATAGTGGTTAATTACTAATGTAATTTCTCTGTATTCTTTGAAATACACTGTATATGTTTAAATTCAGATAGGATTTTTTCTTTGTTTGTTTTCGTGTGAGTACTGGGGTTTGAACTCCTGGCCTGGTTGCTGTCACTGAGCTCTTTTGCTCAAGGCTGGAGCTCTATCACTTGAACCACAGCTCCACTCCCACTTTTTTTGTTGGTCAATTGGAGATAAGAGCCTCTCAGACTTACCTTTCTAGGCTGACTTGTAACCACAATTCTCAGATCTCAGCTTCCTGAGTAGCTAGGATTATAGCCATGAGACTCCAGTGCCCAGCTTAAAGTGAATGTTTACATTAGTACTTGCAGTTTCTGGGATTTTATCACCTTATTTCTAGATATTTCTCTTTATACTATTGACAGAGCTTTAAAAAATCATAAGAATTTCTTGAATCTCTAGCAATAATTGTTAAATAATTTTAATAATGTGTGTAGTTGGCTTGTCCCTCTCTACAACTAGAAGTTAAAAATAACATTTCATTCATTTTAATAGCACTCGCAATATTTAAAGTGTAGTTACTGGCCCAAATTTATAAACTTAAATACTTTAAAATAAATGAGTACTGCTCCAAGTAATATAGAATGTATTACAGGAGCCAAAACTGAAAATTACAAAAACAAGGTCTCATATGAAAATACAAAGCCACTTCCTATAATTTAATTTTATTACAGACAGTAATATATTTTATAGTATATGTCTCAAGTAGCAGAATATCTTCTGAATGAATACAAGGCCCTGAGTTCAATATGGGGGAGGGTGTATCATAAATGCAAACTGCAATTTAATACCATAAATTTCACATGCTCTAAAAGGATACTAGACATACTACTGAAATCTTTTCCTTATTTTATAAAGACCTCTTAACTGTTCATTGACTTGTACTCTGTTAAAATTCTCTTATGGGTTCAGTCACAGGAAATTTGCTAATATTACTTTTAAGTGCTACCTTTAAGACATGAAAAATACACTTAAAGTTATTATGGTTAAAACAACTGACCTGGCTTTTAAAAAAGAGAACCATCTTAATTAAATTAATGTCTTACTGCTTTATGACTATAACTAAAAAATGCCATTAACAATAATTGAAATTACACCAATTTATCCACATCAAGATCATTGTGTTCCATACTTTTAAAATGACTAACTCATGATGAAAGAGAATAAAGGCTCATATTAAGTGTCTGAAAAAAATTCAAACATGAGACCTACCAGTCTTCTATTTTAGGAGGCTGCTCTAAATCTTTATTGTTTTCTAAATCATAGAAATATTAAAACAGAATATCATGGTTTATAACACTACAGATTCAGTCACTCTCTTATCAGAGAATGGCTTCTTATGAAGCCTCTTAGTTTCAGCACCTACTTGCGAATGTAAATTAAAGAATAATGCTAAGACACAAACTATTACATTTTATGTTCAGAATATTTTGCTATCTTAAGCCATCTCTAATATGGCGACTTCAGCTATTATATTTTCAAGTCTGTGTTGAATACACTATCTACAAATGATAAAGCATGCTCTGGGTATCTAAAAATAGAAAGCCTACCAAAGAAATTCCATGACGACCTTATGATAACATAAACAGTATTCTGGGAGAAATTCACCTGCTATTATAACAAGAAACACCTGCACACCAAGAAGTGCTGTTTCCGATTCTTCTACGTGCTTTTCTGTAACCTAACTTAATGAGACCCAACGGCAAAGCAAGTCTTCCAATGTTAGCTGAATGGGTAATGGTCATTAAATACATTCATAAGATGGTTAACATAGGTGTTGGTCTTCGACTTGGGATGCCAGAGAAATACATGCACACCCTACACAAAACAGACATCCCAAAAGCATAAGAAGAATTCTTCCTGAGCAATTCCCACATTTATTTCCTAGCCTCGCAGCACCAGCATTAACTATGTGCTGTGTTCTCTGCCACACTGAGTCTCTGCTCCCAGTGTTCTGCTCTGGAAAGGATGGAAGAGTGAAGGTGAAGGAAGGGAATTATGTAAGGATTTGGTTGTGATCACTAACGATATGGATTCTATACATATTACACATACGCCGCACATCTGTTAGATACACAACACATACATTATGTGGCGGGGGGGGGGGGAAATGCTACCTACTGAGAGATACCACAATATAAATTAGGGGACCTATCTACCTATATTATTTTGTAGAGAATCTATGGTGTGGAATATACTTTTCCTTTATGTCAGTGGGCTCATGTTTATTTTCTCTTTACATCCCTTCACGTATCTGTCACATGCCTCACTGATTTTTCTAATACTCATCAACCATACCCTATAAGATGTAGCTTAAATATATATATATATACATATATATATATATATATGTATATATACACATAGAGAATGTTTAGTAGCTTTAAGCAATTGAACTGAGGGGTTTCAATTCAACACGTTGGTTACCAAGTATAATGCAGGCTGGGAATGTGGCTCAGTGGTAGAGTGCTTGCCTAGCATGCTTGAAGCCCTGGGTTTGATTCCTCAGTACCACAAACATAGAAAAAGTTGGAAGTAGTGCTGTGGCTCAAGTGGTAGAGTGCTAGCCTTGAGCACAGAGAGGCTCAGGGACAGAACCCCAGCCCTGAGTTCAAGCCCCAGGACCTGCAAAAAGAAAAAGAAAAAAGGACAATGCCTCTTAAAGGGAAGAGAGGTAGAAATTGTCTCCCCAACATTTATTTCTAGGTTTTAACTCTGAACACTGCAGACGGCCATGTTGATGCTGTTTCCTCTGAATTCTACTTTGAGATAGGATTGGAGCTTAAGCACTTTTTCTGGACTTGTTTGTGAAAAATCTCAGAAAAGCAGAGGGGTATTAGAAGCAGCAGAGCCAGCTAGAGCTGGGAGTGACCGGCCTTCATCTACGACACAAAGTATGCAGAACATGCTTTAAATTACCCCAGCCAAGGAACCAAGATGCTTACCAAACATCTCTCTGTTGGCTGGTGACTCTTTGGGTGGGGCACCTGCACCATGCAGACCTAGTGTGTGTGGGGTGGGGGGGAGGACAGGGAAAGGGAGGTCAGGGATAGTCCAGGAAGAAAGTATTCCCCTGTAGTACACAGCCTGCGAACAGCAGCATGGCACTTAGTACATCTGCTGGTGGACACCATCGGCGGTGACCTTTAGGATATAGAAGAGTGTTTCCTATTCAATTCAACCCAACAGAGGAATCTGTGACGTGATTTACAACTAGAGGTAGTTTTTACTTGGGGGAGAGGGGGATAAAAACAGAATTTGCAAACTGCAAATTAGAAGCAGAGAAGAAGCTACATTTCAAAAGAACATACCTTACTCCAGGTACTATTCAATTATCATTTGAGTTGGGGGGCGGGGAGGGGAGATTAAACATTTCTTGAGAAACTAGACTCAACAGGATTTGAGTTATCTCTGCCCTCATGAGAAATAATACCCAAGATGACTGTGTGTGCTCTCCAAAGTTCTGTCTCTCCGTCCCTGAAAGAATTCCCTTTCCCTCAAGGCCTATGTGAGCATTCCTGAAACAGAAACAGCACCCAGCACTGATAAAGCACTTGATCAGCTTAGTGTCCCTTGCTGGCCCCGTCCTGAGTGCCCCTCTCTGCTTGGTGGATATTCATGAAGTATTGATAATAGAAACAGACCCAGAGTCCTCTAATGGTTGAATGACTTGCCCAAGGCCTCTCATTAGTGAGACAGTTAAAGACTGAAAGCTAGATCCTCTGCTAAAACTCTCTCTCTCTCTCTCTCTCTCTCTCTCTCTCTCTCACACACACACACACACACACACACACACACACACACACCTTACCCAAACTAGATACTAACTTTCATAAACCACAAACCATCACTTAAAATGATGGGGTATTTGCCTTAAGATTATGAACTTTAGTTGTGTGGAAAATGTGGCTTGATTTTCAAGTTAAAAGATAGGAAGTAGACTACGCTTTTCACCGTAACAGAAAATGTAAATGACAGTGCAAAACTTTTTACTACGGCCATGACTCATGTAGGCCATGTGTAACTAACCGACATTCTTAATTCCTGAACTATTTCTCCAGCAGCCTTAGAACAAGGAGGGCAGCAAAGGAACAGCTAGCATCTTCATAATAAAGCAAACATTACCACTGTCCACAGCACGTGTCCTGTGTATCTCACCTACAACGTGCATCCTGAAACTATTGCCGAGAACGAAGCTCACCATCCCTGAAATGAACAGAGATCCAGTCTCTAAGCCCTGAGCAGCGCCCATCAATGGTTTGGGGGCGGGGCAGGAGGATGGAATCCATGTATCTAAGTGCTGATTGACATGGCAAAAGTGTCTAAAGATGCTCTCCAGCATCGCCAGTTAATCTGAAGCCATTCCATGCTGCTAAGACCTCAGCTATTGTATATTTAAGCTACACACTGGGGTGGGTGTGTGTGCGTGTGTGTGTGTGTGTGTGTGCCCAAAATGAAAAGCCTTGGTTGCAGATAGCATCCTTTACCACACATCCATCTCCCCGTGGGGAAGACTGCATAACGCGTGTCCCGTGGGGGCTGCGCTGGCCTCGGAGCTCTGGTTTGGGGGAGAAGAGAGGTGCAATGCCGCGGCTGAACACAGACACGGGGGAGGGGGGAACTTCATACCCAGCCCATAACGGATCCGGTGGGGAAACGCCACGCTGAACTTCCTGGAGCGGCATGGAGAGGCATGGAGAGCCTCTTCTGGGCACTGTGACTGACCCACGGGATGCCTGGCCGGGGGACAGACGGCATGGACACTCGAGGCCACTCGACACACTTGGCTTTCTCACAGAATGAGGGCAGCAACCAGGGAATTTCCTCCATCCAAGCAACACCACGCCATGGCGTGTGGCTGCAAACAGCCAGGATCATGGCTCATCCCAGGGATTCCACTTTTAAAACTTAAGTTTTCATTTGGAGACGTTCACGACCGGGGTTGGAAGGAGGTAGATAGATAGATAGATAGATAGATAGATAGATAGATAGATAGATAGATAGATAGATAGATAGATAGATAGATAGATAGATAGATAGATAGATAGATAGATGATAAATGTGGTGAAGGAGGAGTGATCCATAAATGAAGCCCCCATACCGGTTCCCAGGGCGCGTTCTCCACCGCCAGTGTGGTCAGTTTCTGGAACTACCTGTTACATATTTAAATCCAGCCAAGTACCTCACTCCCCCCAGCCCACCCCATCCCCCCCACCTCCCAGCGCCCTGGGCGCCCTGGTTGGTGACCCCGTCCTCGGCGCGGGGCGTGGGAGCGGCCGCAGGGACGGTGAAGTTTGCCTCGCGCACGGGGTCGGGGAACTTGGCTGCGGATGAGCCACACCTAAGGAGCCGCGTGGAGCCGCGGGGCGCCGATTCCCGGCCGTCCGCAGCGTGCCCAGCCCCGGCCGCCGGCG